TCTTCTCTTTCTTTTTCTTTTTCTTTTTCTTTTGCACAATCATTGGTGGCTGACACGCTCAAGAGTATGGAAACCGAACCAGAGAAGCATGGATATAATAAGGATGGCCTGGTTGGTGACTCTGAGGTAGCCTTTTCCTCATGGCTAGACTGCAAAGAATTAAGGGGAAAGCCATGGAGATGCAAAAGGATGGTAGGTGGTTAAGAGACTCAACATCACCCAAGATATGCTAGTATAGGTCAATTCCTCTAGAAAAGCAAAAGATACAATACCAGAAGTCCATAAAAAAAATAATCACTAAGGCAGAAGACTCCAAAATTTGCTAATCCAATAGTGTGTACAGAATGAGACATACTAATCAAAAAACACACACTCCAAAACGAGTAATGACCACAGAAAGCACACATATATTAACAAGTAATGGATATTCTCATCCAATCCAATATGCACCAAGGACCACTCAAAAATTTCAAGCTTGCAAAACCATACTAAGAAAATCTTTTTGGGATTTTTTTTTTCTTAATCAAAGCAAGACAAAAAAAAAACAAACATGCATATTTTTTTTTTCTTATAAAAAAAACACACAGAGACCCAAAAACAACTAAAAAGAGTAAACACATTAACACAAGTCAACTTTTCTTACCCAAATCTTTTTGGTCTTAACAAAATCAGGTCTAGTGGTCTTGGTAAGTGTCATGGTGTAGTAAACACCCTCATGAATCTTGGTATTCCGCCTAGACATGTAAGTCGAATTTCTACCCTTTTGAGGCACTCTCCCATGCAACTTATAACAATAAGGGCGAATATGACCATGCATACCACAATGATGACAAATAAAAACAGGGTGTACCTTCTTTTCTTTTACCTTACCAACTCTAGGGAGTTTGGGAAGTCTTTCCTCTTGTTGAATCTTTTGTCCTCCCTTTCCTTGAGTTCTTGTATCATGAGATGTGGAAGCAATCTGTTTTTGCTCTTTCTTACCACCAAAGCCAATGCCAGTCTTGTCACAACTCATTTGTTGAGACCCAATGATATCCTCCAAAGTCTTTGATCCTCTGTTCCAAAGACCAATGGTAGCCATAGCACACTTGAGCTCTTCCTCTTTCTTAATCATTAGTTCTTCCAAAGCAACTTGTGACATCTCGAGAGATTCAATCTTTTCTTCATACATGGCATGGGTTTGCAGTAGCTCATTCCTCTCTGTCTCACAAGTCAACAGTTTTGCACAAAGAACTTACAAAGAAACTCAAAACATGTGCAAGTGAGAATGTCAAACTTAAGGAGGACTTTCATTTTTTTTTCTGTCAGTAAAAAATTTGTCTAATATGTAGATTGAATTCGACTAAAGGATTTATGAATTATATGATTGCGGGTTATAGAATCTTTTTCTTTTTTTTTTTTAGTTTCGCTTGGTTTATATATTTCTCTCAATCTAAATAATAGAATTGGATTTATTTTTGAGAAGGGGTTCGATAATTAATATCCCCCTTTTCATCAATTCTGTAAGAGTTAAATTCTTCTGAATCAGCATTATATCCAGATTCATTTCTCTCCTTTGAATAGAGGATATAGTAATTTTTCTTGGATTTCTCAGTCTAAGCAGGAGACAATATACTTTGATATTATTGATCATTCTTTGATTCAAAGCATTATCCCATCTCAATTGAAAAAGTAAATACTTTTTCAGGAAGAAATCTAGTTCTGCTTCGGTATTGCTCTTGTATTGTTTTTTTTAAACCTTCCAATCAAACATGCCAAATATGAATAGGAATCTCGTTTCTAGTTTTTTGCTAAACAAAATTGGTATTAAGCTTGTGTTTGATTCTGATAAACTTGTTTTAACTCACAATGGGGAATTTGTGGAGATGGTTTATTGTCATACTGGGCTCTTTATATTTGATGTTGAATGTGTTGCTATGAATAAAGTTTTTACCTCTGTTGCTTATATTGTGAAGTCTATTAATTTATGGCATGCTAGACTATTTCCAACCAACTGATCCAGCTTGAGGTTGTCAACATCTTGAGCCTCCTCAATAGCCGTAACTTTTGGTTGGAACCGATCGGGCAAGGATCTCAAAATTTTTCCCACAACTTTGGATTCTGGTATTTTTTTCACCTAAATTGAAGCTGGAATTTACAATGTCACTGAACTTCGCATAAAATTCATCAAAGGTCTCACTATCTTTCATTGAAAGGTTTTCGAAACTAGATGTGAGCCTTTGAAGTTTTGAACGTTTCACAGAAGGAGTGCCCTCATGAATAGTTTGTAAGATATCCCAAGCCTCTTTTGCGACTTCACAATTACAAATACGACTAAACTCTTCAGGTGTGACAGCGCAAAAGAGAGAATTGATAGCTTTACTATTCCAGCTACTATTTTGGTAATCAGTTGTGTCCCACTTATGAATTGGTTTGGGGATTGTAACTCCATCAACGGTAATTGTTGGTTCAGTCCACCCATTCATGACGGATTGCCAAACTTTTTCATCAGTAGATTTTAAAAAAGATCTCATCCGAGCTTTCCAAAAAGAATAATTGGATCCGTCAAGTAGGGGTAGTCGAACCATAGAATTTCCTTCACGAATTGTATCCATTATCACAAATCAAACAAGATCTTGTTCTAAAAGAAATTTTTTAAAAAAAATAGAATGACCCGCTCTGATACCAATTGAAAAAACTAGAAACCCCCTAGATGTTGATTTGTGATTATGTATCAATTTTAAGCAGAATATAACAATCCCAATCAAACAATCAAACAATCATGACAAAGATACACAACGATTTAACGTGGAAAAAACCACAATTGGACACCTCCAACTGTGATCAAAAAACCACGGGCAACAGCCACAAGAACAATCCACTAAGAAGATTTAAAGGAATTACACAGGTATACTCTCAATTACCTAGCGAATACACAACGCCTAATTGAACCAACCTCTATGTGCCTCTTCCAACCCCATCTTCACCACGGAATTGTCTTTCTGATGAGCCACTCCGGATTCCACCAAAGCTTCAGGCTCGAATTCTTCAGAATTCACAACTAAAGAACAACTCTCTCTTTTGTGTATATCAAACAAACCTTTGATGTACTCTCTTTAAATCATGAGTTGAAAACTCAATAAAAACATCAAAGAAAAACAAACAAAATATCCCCAGATATAATCCTTAAGAACCAAAAAGAAGATCTGGAGAACTTCAATCAATTACCTAGTTTTGGGAGAAAACCAAGTATTTATAGAAAACCAAAAGCAATCCTAATTTCAGATGAAAACCAACTCTTTAATCAAATCTGGAAATCTGGGATCGCGCGGTCCGCTCGAGCTCAACACAGCCCGCTCGAGCGGCCTGACCAAAAACTGCGTGCGAACAAACTGAGATGCGCTCGAGCGTAGGATAATCCGCTCGAGCGTAAAATCATACCCACCAGTATTTTTTCAGGCGACTGTAGAGATGCTGAGAGCTTCCAATCCCCGCTCGAGCACCCGTTTCCCCGCTCGAGCGGACAGGCCAAAACTGGAAAAACTGAAAAAATATAACATGATCGAACAGGCAATTTTAAATGCATTTTTGAACGCTTTATCATCACAAACTTCTCTGAAAAGACACAATTTGGGTGGATTCGCATCTAAACTCTCATAGCCTCACTGAAATAAAAAGTGCGAAAACAAATACAACTGAAAGGAGTTTTGTCAAACGGGGTTGCCAAAAATAAAACCTAACAGTAATGTTTGAGTTTGAATCCCATTTACTATTAGATTTTATAATAGAAATATTAGAAAATCACAATTTAAATATTATAATTCATCCAAAATGATGTGGCAAGAAAATTATATCTTATATGACTAGATTTGTGAAAAATTTAAAATTGACACTTAACAGATCATTCCATTATTGTTGATTTGAAAGAACCTTTTTAAGAGTCTCAAAAGTTTTTTATAGCATAAACGTTAGAACTTCAGAAATTTTCAAGCTACTGCGTGTATCACAACTCAGTTGGCATTTTCCATTGATACAATATATGGCTTTGTCTACTGTTGAATTTTAATTGTCTAGTTTGATATAATATTTCTCATATTATAATTAATCCTATATCAATTTAAAAATAAAAAATAAAAATCACACAAGCATGCTGGTATAAGTTTTTTGCTAGGTTAATTTACCTGTCAACATAAATTTGAACTAGTTTGGGAAGTCACATTATTGTATGTAGTTAGATGGACCAATATTTCTATGTAATGAGTATTTTTAACATTTAAAATAAAAAAATTTAGATTACTGCTTTGGGGCTTCATCTAAATTTTACTTCATATAGATTATGGGTAGGGGGCTAGGAGCACATTAGTTTTGTTTAGTAGCAAATCTAAAAGCAAACCAATCCCTAAAACTTCATTTGGAATACTTGGTGACAAAAAAAAAAATTGATTAATTAAATTTGACTTGGAAATGAAATAATAGAAATAATTGATATTTCTCTTCATTTATAGAGGGAAAGGAGAAAGAGTTTTAGCAATCTAATTTTAGTCCCCAAAATGAAGGGAGAAACATTTAGGGACTAATTTTTGTTAAAAAGTCAGAAAACATACTTTTGTATCAAAATTTAAAAAATGTGGTTAATAAAATACACTATAAAAGAAAACTATTTGGGGCATTAAATATTCACTTTCTTAGATAAATTGTGGTCAAACGATAAAAATAATTTATCACTAAATATCTAATTTCATCGCTAAACATACAATGACACTTTTAGCAACTTAAATATTTTGTTCTTAAAAATTAAGTTCATTCATAATTTTTTATTTTTAAAATCTTAATTTGTTGTAATTATTTCATGCTTGCCACGGTGTGACCAACCATTTGGTGATTTTTTTAGGGATTAACAATTTTGATTTTTATTGAAAATACCCTAGCACTGTTTGATTCTATTCCTAATGCATAAAACATTTTATAATAACTAGATATAATGGATTAAAGCAAATAAAAAGGGTATAGATAAAGCATACCTTTTCATTAAACAAAAATTGTGCCTGGGTAGAAGAATTTCCTTTAGATGTTGACATCTTCTCCACTTTGGGGTAGAAGCTTATGAGCTTGGGTAGATTCTGGAGACGCAAATATTTCAACTGACTGAAATTAATTAACTGACTTGAGAGTTCATCTTCATCTTTTTCTTCTTCAATTCCAACTATTGCTTCCATCATCACACAATCAAATATTCGTAGTCTCTGGAGTCGTGGAAATCCTCTTGCACAGGACAGGGAGAAGAGATATTTCAACCTACAATCTTGAACTGTTAATTCGATTAAATTATTGAAGAACCCTGATGGAGCACCTCTGTCATGCAGCACCTCTTGTAAACCTTCAATTTTTTGCAAATGTAGTTGTTCGGCTCTCATCAACAAAACGATTAACTTGTCCATTAAGGAAACACCCGCAAGTTTACACGACTTTGAATAAGTTCTAAAAGAATCATAAGTTCCAGAAAAATCAAATTCCTTACCCATTACTATTTTAAATCTGAACAAGTTTTCAAAGCAGAAGTCCTTGGGCAATAGCATGACATTTGGTATCTGAATCTCTAAAGTGGTTAATTGCGTCAATTTCCCCAACTCATCAACATTCACTTTGACACTTTCCTTTCTAGACATATACTCATCATCTAAAATGTATAATTCTTCCAGGCGAGACAAATTGGATATGACACTTTGTGGAATCTCTGTGAGCTTTTTACAATTTCCCAGATCTAACAACCGAAGACGAGTCAATTGTCCTATCTCTGATGGCAAAACCTCGATATTAGAACCTCGAAGGCTAAGTATTTCAAGGTTATTATTTAGATCCTTGAGTATAGCTATGTCTCCCAACTCACAATCTTCTAACCATAACATCCGAATGTTAACCAAATTAGCAAGAGATAATGGACGCAACATACAGATTCTATTCAATTCTAAAATTGTAAGTTTCTCCATTCCACTGAAAAACCTATCTGAAACATTAAGCAAAGCATCGCTACGCCAATCCCATTCCAATACTATGGTCAAGGTGTGGAGTTGTGGACATACCAAATCATCCGGAAGCTTCGGAAGCTCAAGAGTGTAGTCGAACATTAATGACATTGCTGAGGAAGATTCGCATGTATCTTTCTCGGGCCACTTTTTGTCACCATGTTTTACTAGAATTTCCTTGCCATCATCTTTCGCAATTGAAAGAGCAACATCTCGAATGACATCATGCATTTTGACAAAGTTTTCATCTTCACCTTCTAATAACAAACAAGCATCTTTGAGGATATCGACCACTGTAAGTACTCGACGGCTTGCTCTTCTTAGTGTATTTGTGTTTTGTCCAAGCAAACTTCTCGCTATGCAGTGTCTCGCCAACACTTCAATTGAAATATTATCATCTTCAGGAAAGAAACAGCATAGCAAGAAGCATGATTTTGCATCACTAGATTCTAAACGATCATAGCTTAACTTTAAGGAAGCATACACCTTTGCGTCAATTCCCGCAATATTCTTTAGCATGGAATCTTTGAATTGATCAAGTACATCTTCCCAGACATATTTTTTCTTATCTTTCAATGCGGCTCCAACTGCAAGTATAGCGACCGGCAAGCCTCCACACTCTTTATAGACTGCATCAGCTATATCATGGAGTTCAGGAGAATCAACAGAATTTCCCACCTTCGTCTTGAATAGGGCCCATGCTTCTTTCTCTAATAATACTTGCATTGGAACATACTTATCAACATGCATCTTTTCCAACACACCTAGGATTCGAGACGTTATCACAACTTTGCAACAATTGTTTCCATCAGTGATAGGAATCCCTATTGTCTTCAAGTTCAATTCTTGCCAAATATCATCCAATATAATGAGATTTTTCCTCCCATTGTTCAATCTATTCCACAATTGGTTTGCTGTTCCCACTTCATTTTTCCCTTTTAGTTCTAGATTCAAGCGAGCAGCGAGTTGCCCTTGAATATTGCTCACATTTGCGTCCTGAGAGACAACTGCCACCATAACTTCATCAAAAAGTCCATTTTTCACTTGTTTTCCAATCTCTTCGACCATTGTCGTCTTACCAACGCCTCCTGTTCCATATACTCCAATCATTTTAACGTTGGAATCTTGTAATGCCCCCATGATGTTATTGAAAACCAATTCTCGCGACTCAAAATTCACATAGTTTGTACTTGACGATGTGAATTGAAGTTCTTGAGCAAATGGCTTAGGATGTGCAACTGTGCTAAAATTGCCACTCTGAGTGAACTTTTTTACTTCTTTGATCTTGTTTTCGGCATCCTTGCTCATTCTGTAACGCGAGATGTAGTCCGGACATAAGAATACAAAGCACTGCATGTTTTCGTTAACAGTATTTTCATCCTTAAATTCCGGAACTCTTTTTCCCACCTCCGCTAGCCAGTTTGAAACAGGTTCATCAAGTTCTTCACCACGAGTAATGGCTTCTTTAACTTTTTCTTTGATTTGTTTTATCAGCTCTTCAAGGTTTTTAATTTCAACTTCCAGATTCTCCTGCTTCTTCTTGTACTGAAAAACAAAACCAACGTGGAGCATCACTGGCTCAACTAATCTCCCCGCAATTGCCCCTGCAATTGCCCCTGCAATTGAAAATACACCTTGCAGGGCACTCATTTTCAATCCACTTTTTCTCTTCTCTTTTTTTTTTTTTTTTTTTTTTTTTTTAAACAAATATTGAAGAAGAAACTAGTTTGAGATTCGAATTTCAGAGGATAAAGCTCTCTCAATCTGTATCTGCAGGTAAAACAAAAAGAGAGATATTAAAGAGGAGAAATAAAAAGCGAAGATAAAATTCTCTCTTTTGCTGATTAGGCAAATAAAAAACGAAAAAAAAAAATTTAACATTAACTAAGTGGAAAGAGTTAATTACCTAAAAGTCTTATTTACAAATATTATGTTTACTCAAGTCTGATCCAAGATTTTTTAAACCAATAAATTCTATTTAGTAAAATTGAGAATATTATCAGTTTTTTCCAATTTATAAAACTAACAACATTATCAATTTTATATAGTAATGTTTCACATAATTGTTTCACTAATTGATGGGGGAAAAAAAACTGAACATGGAATTAAACGTTTTTGTAATTCTACTTATTGATTTTATTCAACTATCTAAAAAAGCCGAGAACATTATCAGTTTTTTCATTTTTAATTTTTTTTTGTTGTACATCAATGTTCCATCGTCATGCTTCTTTATAGACACAAAATTTTTAGTTTTATCCAAAAAATTAATTTAATTTTTCAATTTTTTTCAAAAAAAAAAAACATTTAGTTTTTTCTTTTTAATTTATATTTTACCTTTTTTATTCACTTTTTAAATTCCTCCCTAAATTTATTAATCAAACAGTGTTTATCGTGCCTTGAGGCTCTAACCCAAAAACTTCTTTTCTTTTCTTTTCTTTTTTTAAATTCTGAAAATATGATAAACACCAGAGAAACACTTGAGGAGAGATGGGAAATTACAGATACTACATAAAGCATTTACAAATATTTGTACGTTAATAATCATAACAAAATAGAATCCATTTAAGTGTAGGAAAAATCAGTGAAAAGCCTCTTTTCAAGAATTTGTTTAGCCATAAATATTATGGAAATAAAATGTGATCCAATAAATTCTACATATGTATGAAATTGTATATTAGAAATCCTTTTATGGAAATTAGATGTTTTTTTATGACAATTTTATCCTTGTTTTGGTCAACATGCTTATATTTATATATATATATATATATATATTGATCGGTGAAAGTCAATTATTAATTGTTAGATTAATACCTGTGAAAGTTAGCCTCTGCATTCTTTACAAAGTCAAGTGCTTGTCTCTTTAATTCAACTCCCTTAAAGAGATTTAAACCTATGACCTCTTCTAGGGACTAAACCCTTAGAAAAGTTATAGTAGCCAACTGGGTTATGCCTAATTGATTAACATGCTTATATGAAATACTTCTTTTTTTGTTTTTTCTTTTTCTAATGTTTCAAAACTTGAAAATTTTACAACTTTTAAAATGTACATATGTTTTTTTATATAATTTAGATTTTTTGTAAGGCAAAATTTATTTTATCCCCTTGTGATTTAAGGCTAAAGCACTTTACCCTTATAATTCAAAAATAGTAAGAAAGATCTCATCATATGATTTTGATCTAAAGTGTAACCATTAACGTAGTTAACTAAAGATGTAAAATTACTATAATACCCTTTAATATACATAGTTTATAATGTTTAAACATTAATTCAATTAAAACACAATTAATTATATATTCTTAATCACTTATTGTAATTCTTAACTTTTTATTCTAATTTTAATTTAATTATATTTTAAATCACAATTAATCTTAAATATTTAATTAGTTATTGTAATTGCTAAATTTTAAATCTAACTTTAATTTAATCATATTTTAGATCAATTTCTAATTATTATGTATTTTATATTCTTACTTAAAATATTTAGTTATATTTTATATTTTAAATTAATTGTTAATTATATTTTATTTTATTTTATTTTAATTAACATATTAATCTTTTTGTTGTATTAATTTCATGTTATTTTTTCAAAAAACTAAACCCATTTTAAAATATTGTGTGTAATACACCTTCCGTCAATTTGAATGAAAAAAATAACGACACTTTAATCCTCCAAAATCACTTGGAAATTTTCTAACTATATTTAAATCATAAGATGTAAAATGAATTTAATCCCTTTTTGATAACTACTCAACGATATCGTTCTCAATTAAATACAAAATTATGTAAAATGAAAAAAAAATACACTTTTTTAGAATTTGAAATTGTGAAAAAAATTTCACTTATAAAATTTCATACTTTAGAGAAATATTTTGTCATGAGACTCATCTTCCTTGCATTATAATAGTGTGAATTTTGTAATAAGTGTGAAAGTTGTATATCTGAACATTTATACTTTTAATTATTAAGATATTTTTTAGAAAGTATGAAAGTTAGTATGAATGCATTAAAAAATATTCACACTTTTTAAAATTTTATATTTTTCTAATTTATTGAATGTCTGAATATTTGTATTTTTAAAAAATTCCTAGATAAATTATAATTTGCACCCTTGCAGTTTGCACCAAATTCACTTTGGCCCTTATATATGAAATTATGACAATCAAGCCATTACACTTCTAGTCAAATCCTTTGGTCCCTACACATGAAATCATGGCAATCAACCCTTACATTTCTGGTCAAGTATCAATACTCTACCATATAAATCTTTAATAGAGGTCAGTGATGCGACAAACATATGACTACAAAATAAGAGCACAAGAGGAAAATCATGCACATTTCCCGCTTATACACATCCCAAAATTTACATCATATTTTGTCTATATTCGATTAAAACAAAAGACAAATTATGAACAATTAAAGAGACAAATTAAGATTTTTTTGTAGAAATAGAAATCACAAAATTTTGTTTTTCACAGTAACAATAGAATATTCCTCTTCCCTTTTTTTGATTTTTCTGCTATCTTTATTTATTTGAAAAGAGTTTTGTTTTCTTTACTTTTTGTCCTAATCTTCTTACATGTTTATCACGTGAGACAAAGTATGTATTGGTGGAAAATAAGGATAATTTTCTTCTCTTATTCTCATTTTGTAGTCACATATTTATCATAAGACTAAATTCCTATTAAAGACTTAAACAATATAGTAACAGAATGGGACATTGACACTTGACCAAGTGCAGGGAGTTGATTGACACGATTTCATGTGTAGGGACCAAAGTAGAATTTGACCAAAAGTACAGGGGGTTAACTGTCACGATTTCATATGTAGGGATCAAAGTGAAATTTTATAGGGATGCAAAGTGTAATTTACTCATGGTTTTTGGTGATTTTCACTATTAATCCTAACAAAATAAGACAAACTTTTAATTGGCCAATTGAAAATAGAATAATTTGAAATTATTTATCCAAAAAAATAAAAAAGAACAATTTGAAATTAAAATTGGTCTGTTCACCCTCTTGGCCGAAAATCTATTGATGCCAATATTTCATAATTATGTATTCTATGGTCATTACCAAATTAACATTATATTTTCGTCTTCGTGATTTGAGATTGGAACATTTTAGCTCTCCTATTGTTTAAATATAGCTAGAAAGGCCCCATCTAATTTTGGGCCAAGATATATCCGTTAATTTCATTAATTATAAATATGAAATGATTGTAATAATCTTAAATCTTATGTCTTATATAGATATATATTTTCTTTTTTTCCTCTGTCATGCACATAATTTATAATTTCTAAAATCAATTCAATTAAATCATACTCAATCATAAATTGTTAATTATTTATAATAATTCCTAATTTTTTACTCTAGTTATAATTTAATTATATTTTAAATCAAAATTAATCGTAAAATCCTTAATTATTTATTATAATTCCTATTTTTATCTAATTTTAATTTAATTATAGTTTAGATCACAATTAATCATACATCCTTAATTATTTATTGTAATTCCTAACATCTTAATCTAATTTTAATTTAATTATATTTTAGATCAATCCTTAATAATTATTTATTTTATATGTTAATTTAATTATATTTTAAATCACTTTTTCATTATATTTTAGGTCAATCCATAATTATATATTTATTTTATTTTAATTAAATCTTATTTTAATTTTAGGTTTGGAGAAGATCGAGATAAAATTGTCTCTTTATTGTGTTAATTTCAATTTATTTTTTTTAGAATCAAGTCATTTTAAAAAATAGTGTGCGTGATACACCTTCCGTTACTGTGGATGGAAAAATTCACAATTCTATTTTAATCCAAAATCACATAGAACCTTTCTGACTATATAAATGAATTTTGTCTTTAATCCAATTAGTTGATCAAACATATTAGTTGATCAAACATAGTTTAGAACTTGTGCATTTAAGTTTGAGAACAAGAATTGAAGATTACAGTAGACAGAAGTTACCTTTATTTAAAGAAATTGTAGAATACATTCACCAAATCATGAATTGAGATACGCTTGCAAGAGATCTGTTTGTCCACAACAACAAAAATTAATGAGATGATACATTTTTATGAGATAAGGCTGCAATCTATCTCGAGCCAAAAACATATGGGGAAGCATTTCATAAAATATATTTCCACATACTACCTAGATATCACCTAAAAATACATACATGGTTCGATATCATTAGAATTGAGCAAACCCAAAATGATCACGAATCTATTACACAAAGCTAGAAAAATGAGCTTCAAATAATGCAGAAATAGAATCTCACTACATGAATATTGTTGCAGTAGAAGCCAAAAAAAATTAAGAGTTATTATGTTAACAATCACAATAAGAGAGTTTTTGTTATTTCTTTAGCGTATGAGTATTTTCCATTATCATTATAGATTTTATTTTGCTAATCAAAAAATTGAGTTATTTGATCTTTGATGTCAAAAAAGACAAGCCATGATTCTATAACTTTTGCTTAGCGTTACATAGATTCTCAACCCCCTATTGTACTCACGTCCATATATAAGATGCAAGGAAGAAGTCAAAAGTACTATATAGATAAGGCTATAAGTGTAGCAAAACGAGATTATAAAATGGTGTATCAAACAAAATAAATTAAATTTTTATAAAAGAGAAATGCACTTACATTAGTTATTAAACAATCACAAGAAAAATGAATAAATGTAGGAAATATTGGTCAATAGTCCCGCGCATTGATTGTTTTGTGGCAGAGACCCAAATTTTGGTTTTTCTTAATTAGAAGGTGACATGCACAACACTTTCTGGTTGGCAATTCTAAACATTTTGTGGCAAAGAAATTTTTTGACATATTTGCCTTTTTATGTGTAGTGTTAAAAAAAATTTAAAATGTTATAACTTTAGCTACATATATCAATTTTTAATAAAATTAATTTTTTTGTGTTCATCTTGTCAAGATCTTTAAATAAAGATCAATATTAACAATGAAAAGAAAAAAAAACTCAACAAATAGACCTATAGAAAAATAACGAATAGATCTATTTCGAAGCATGTCAAGGCCAAGGAAATTCATGACAATGCAACTATGTATAGTATCATAAAAACTATACATCAATACAATAGAATTGCAATTTTCCTCACCATGGACTAAATGACATGATTTTTTGGTCTAATGTTAGATGGTTTATGCGAAAAAAGTATAAATTGAGAGTCAAAAAGTATATATACATATATATATATTGGAAAAAAATGAGTAAGCGAAACCACCTCTATTCGTTTCAAAGGGATAGATTTCACAAAAAAATACATAAAATCAAAAAACAAAAAACTCAAAAACGGACTAATGAGCACAAAATTATGGCCTATTGAAGTTTCCACAACATATAAAAATCAAACTCCATTTCTTAATTTGTAAAGCAAACATATATATGTTTGTCTACAATTTTTTAAATTTAAAAAATATTTCAAAGTGCCCAGATAGCGTAGGTAATGCATAGATAGACATATATAATGCACAAATAGCATAATAGCTAGCAGACAAACCTATTTGTTCACATTTTTCACTTTAAAAGTGCATAGATATATCTAAATGGACCTATTTATTCCCATTTTTAATTTAAAAGTTCGATAGACCCTGTCCCAATTTTTTAAATTTAAAGTGCATACATAAAAAAATTTTCCCGAATTTTAATTTAATGAGGAAAATATACAGAAACGTTTAAAATGGACAAATAAATCCCAAATAGACCTATCTATCCCCCTTCTTTAATTTAAAAGTGCATAGATAGACTCCAGTTAGAACTATTTGTTTTTGAGTTTTTTTTTTTTTTTTTGTTAAATTTAAATGTGCACAAATGACCCCATATAGGCTTAATATGCACAAATAGACTCCAAATAGATCTATCTGTGCCGAGGTTGCCTCTGAAGATATCGGAATCCGAGATAAGCAGATAAGGGACAAGAGTCCTAGAATGAAGAGGGAACTCAACCTGGATATAGACAAGAGTCCCAGATTGAGAGAAGACTTTAGTTTGGGTAAAGATAAGACTCTTAGAGAGTTTATCCTAATCTCACTGGCAGTCCCAGATTAGCAGTAATCCTAAGTCCATTAGGGCCAGGCTCCTATTAGGACTAGGATTGTATTGACTATAAAAGAGAGGCACCCCATGGGTCTAAGGTATGCTTTTAATACTCAAGCTTGTGAGTTGAATAATTGATTATCTTTGAGAGATATACTGACTTGATCGTCGGAGTGCCCTCGGGTGGACGAACCACCGCGGGATTCTTATATTTCTGTTGCAGGTCAGTCAGGTGCCATCTATTCTGTCGGTGCTCTCCAGCTGGTTACTAAGTGGGCAGTGTGGTCAGAAAATCACTCACACAATTTGGCGCTGTCTGTGGGAAAGAAAGAAGAATAGATGGCCAATGACAGACAGAAGGATCAAATTAGAGACAACGCTCCTGCTGGGAGTGGGAGACCTATCGATCTCGACGCTGAAGGGGACGACCGCAACACAGAAACTCGTGACCAGAGTCACGAAGTGAAAGACGCCGGCCAGGAAGGTGACACACCAAAGGCAACAGATCGAAGCGGATACTACAACGAAGATGACATCCAGGTATGGAAGGATAGATACTTGCGGAGGAACGAAGACCCTTCCAGAAGGGATGCAAAGACAGGGGGCATGAGCACTCCCAAGGAGGTAACATTCAAGTATAGAAAAGCTCAACCTGAGTGAGCAAATCCCGGATCCCAGATCCCAGAAGACATGATCTCGGCCTAGATGAGTAGGTCCGAGAAAAGAAGAGCTCAACCTGAGTGAGCAGATCCAAGTTTCCAGAAGACAAGATCTCGGCAAATGAGTCCGAGAATAGAAGAGCACAATGAGTAGATCTCAGATCCCAGAAGGTAAAAAGGAAACACACAAGATCAGACTAAAGTTAGCCAGAATTGAGAAGTATGCTAGGGCCGAGGAGGACATGCTAGGAACAAAGGCGTCTGAGTGAGCAGATCCAAGATTCCAGAAGACAAGTTCTCGGCAAATGAGTCCGAGAATAGAAGAGCACAATGAGTAGATCTCAGATCCCAGAAGGTAAAAAGGAAACACACAAGATCAGACTAAAGTTAGCCAGAATTGAGAAGTATGCTAGGGCCGAGGAGGACATGCTAGGAACAAAGGCGTCGGAACAAGAAAAGAGAAACGGCTCGCCGATGCGAGGCCGAAAATCAAACTCAGGTTGGAGCCAAGTAAGATCAATAGAGAAATCAAGGCCGACAACCTCGGCGACAAGGTCGAAGCTACATGTATGATGAGAACCCAAGTGGATTTTAAGTTCACACTGGGAGGGCAGAGAGAAGAAGTAATGCTTAACGCTTGTTGAAATTTGTAGCAATTTACAAGTTGAAGTTAAGCCGAGATTATTGTTTATCTTCACTTGTTGAAATTTGTAGCAATTTACAAGTTGAAGTTAAACCGAAGTTATGCTTAACGCTTGTTGAAATTTGTAGCAATTTACAAGTTAAGCCGAGATGATGTTTAACCGAAGTTAAACCGAGATGATGCTTAACCGAAGTTAAGCTGAGATAATACTTAACCGAAGTTAAGCCCAGATGATGTTTAACCGAAGTTAAACCGAGATGATGCTCAACCGAAGTTAAGCCAAGATGATATTTAACCGAAGTTAAACTGAGATGATGCTTAACCGAAGTTAAGCCGAGATGATACTTAACCGAAGTTAAGCCCAGATGATGTTTAACCGAAGTTAAACCGAGATGATGCCCAACCGAAGTTAAGCCGAAGATGATGTTTAACCGAAGTTAAACTGAGATAATGCTTAACCGAAGTTAAGCCGAGATGATGTTAAAACTTGAGAAAGGTTTACAAGTTAGGTTAAACCGAGAAAATGCTCAAACACTTGTTGAAACTTGAGAAGAGTTTACAAGTTGAAGACTATGGTTAAATACTTATTGAAATTTTTTGAGCAAAAATTTACAAGTTAAACCAAGGTTATGTTGAAAGAAGTATCTACATACTTGCCGAGATTACCATATTGCCAAGACTTGGAAGGAATTTGAAGACAGAAGTCTTGCTAAAAGTGAAGTATCAAGTTGTAAATAACACTTGTGGAAATATTATGATAAATATTTTCAAGTATCAGGTCAAAACCGAGATAAACTGACTAATGGGTACAACCGAGGTGTTACACCCCGAGGAGATTGCACAGTTAAAGGTGTATGTTGAAGGCGGGCATATGACTCAAGTCTGCAGAGTACTAAAAGCACACTTAGAAGATCTGATGAGGCAAGGCCATCTGAAGGGACCTCGTCGATGAGATCAGAACAAGGGAAGAACAGGCAAAACTATCTCAAGCAGCAGCTCCGCCTCCTCCAGCACAACAACCTCAGGCAGGAGGACCTCGGGTAATTAATGTAATTCACTCGAGGGTCAACGAGAACGAAATTAGGGGGGAGACTCAGAAGGTGAAGCACCTGCAACATGTCAACCAAGTCGGGGACAAGAGACATCGGGCAGATGAGTACTTGGGACCAGTAGTGTCTTTTACCGAAGCCGACCTCGAGATGGTCCAGCACCCGCATAATGATGCTTTGGTAGTATCCCTCCAGGTTGGGGAGTGCCAAGTGAAACGCATCCTGATTGACCAAGGAAGCTCTTGTGACATCATGTATGTCCGATGTTACAAGGAGCTCGGCCTTCATCCAGACGATATGGAGTAACCCAATGGCCCAATGGTTGGGTTCAATGGAACGCCGACATGGCCACTAAGAGCAGTAAGCTTGGAGGTGCAAACTGGCACCAGAAAGATCACAACAGAATTCACCATCATCGACACTCCATCTCCTTACAAATCTTGGGAAGATCATGGTTGCATGCAATGGGGGCAGTTCCTTCAACATTGCATCAATTATTGCGGTTCCCAACAGGACATGGGAATGAAGAAGTCAGAGGGGATCAACTGTAGGCGGAGAATTGCTCCATGGCAGCAATGAAATCCACCTGTAGCATTCGAGAACCAGAGAAGGCAGAGATTG